GGTTATAAAAAAACAAGTCTGCGGTGTGAATATTTTCTCCAAATTATACTTTATCCTCAGGGAGCAGCGGAGAAAGAAATAAGTATTTTATCTTTCACTAGAAAGTTTGATACCAAATACCTACACCACCAGGGCTTGTGCAGTTTGGAGGATGTGCATGAGAAGGTGTGGAGTGGAATCTGGGTTCTGTTCTCAGCTCTGCCACAACCTCATGTGTGGGGTTTGAATCAATCCTCTGATCCCTGTACCTCTGCTTCCATGGTGGTGTAGACTCCTCACACTTCAAAAATGGCTTTCAGTGTTCATGGTGCTTTTATGAAGCACTATCAGCTGAATTGGCTTTCACTGCTCTCCCAATTACTTGTGTGTCTGAGCTCTAAGGTGCTTTCCATACCTAATTTTACAGCTGCCTGGAGATGTAATAATTCAGTTTTCCACAGAGAGCAGCAGAAGAATTTGGAGCACTCACCTAAGGTCACGTGAGAAGACTGTGGCAGCAGAGATGCTCTTGTGTATAACTCAGTCACAAACCCCAGCACCATCCTTCTGGATACTCCTGAGAGTTTTTGAGTACACTAATATATTTGACCAACTATCTAAAATGGTTAGGACCACATTTTTTTGCTTTTCATGGCAAGCAGGATGAAACCTTTAATTCAGTTGTGAATCCTGTTGCCATCATCTGGCTCTTATTTGTTCAAGATCAAATTACAGGAAAATGCTCTATATGGGGTTAATTTGAAAATATCTGATATTCTAATCCAAGTAAAGTATACTTGCATTAATAATTATTAATAGACAGTTGAATCTGTGCAAAGGAATGAATTGAAGGTTTATTTGAATATGACTAAATGGAAAGAAACACAATATTTATATGTATATATACAACACATTGCTGAAATTAACAGGCATCCATTGCTCTAATACCATAACATGAAAGAGGTGTCATAAATGCTGATCTGTTTTCTCTCTTAGTTAGCAAAATATCTGGTTTATTCCATATTCCCTCTTAGTTTTGAATCAATGGCGACATTTTAAGGGATGAAGGTGGGAGATGAGGGAGGGCAAATTATAATACTTGATTTTTCCAAACTGATTTTTCCATACTGATTTTCCAAACTGATTTTTCCAAATCAAAGAAACTGGAAAGAAACTCTCTCATGGTGTTGTTAATAAGTTTAACCGTGGGTTTACTTGCATGAAAAATTACCTGAGGACAATATAAACAAATTTTGTTTTCTGAAAATAGTTCATATTCCTATACTCAAATTCTGACACAATTATATTTCCAAAGTATGGTAATAAAATGAAAGAAGTGCTCAAAGAGTTGGAAAATATTTTTTTTTCTCTGTAAAAGAAAGTATTCTCTTGAGAATTGAACTATTTTCTCTTGAGTAAAGGAAACTATTTTCAAAAGAGTAATAGTCATATTACTGACACTGAAGAAAATGTCCTTCTGCCAGCCATACCATTATCTCAGTGGGGCTTTGCACTAGAAAAATGTCATTAGCTACAACACCAGGCACCACAAGAACAAGACATGCCATGTTTTGGAGGACAAGAATTTAATACTCCTGATGTCCTTGTTGCACAGAGGAAATGGCAGTGTTTGAACTTGATGATATTTTCAACATTGGAAAATGACAGAGGTCATGATGAGGTGTAATTCTTCTCAGAGTAAGTGGTGATATTTTGGCATTGAATTTTCACCAGAAAAGACACAAAAAGCACATACAGAACATGAAAAAAAAATTGAGATGAACAAAATTAGCCCCAAATTTTGAGAGTGTGAGATTAAAAACCTCTGAGGAAAACAGCTGGGGTGTATGGCTAACGTAGTACCAAGGTGACAGTGAACTCAGCTCAGCCTTTCACTGTTATCAGGGAGGTGCTGCTCTGTCCTAGATGGGAATGCTGCTTGAAGCACCTTAGTTTTACTCAGTGAATTTGGTATTAGTCTCAGCTGCAAAGTAGCCCACTTTTTATTCTGTCCTAGTATTCCAAAGGAAGAACTTCCTCAGTTTGTGAATCTGCAATGTTGGGAGTATGTTTGAATGATCAAAAGAGACTGAATTGTCTCTCTTCAGTGAATTATCCCTTTCCAGAGAGCCACAGTGGCTGCAAGCCTTGCTCATTTAGATGCAGGCTCAGGCATGTTTACATATTTCCTCAGTAATTTAAAATTGGCTTTATTTTCTCTTGCAAAAAATGCATTACAATAATTGTACCTTAATTTAAATAAGGCTCATGGGACTGTTAGTTATAGAAAAAAAAATGGGTTTTTTTAAATGAAGATGTGAAAATGTAACATCTCACTTTCTATTCAAGTTAAACATAGAAATTAAGAAAATTTGATCAATTGTTGCATGTATGATTTTTAACCACTTATTTAGTTTACTAGTAATCCATCTTCAACTCCATGTTCCAGTGCTTCATTTGATAATATCATTTGTATGGAAGTCAAATTTACAAATAATCTAATTAAAAAATTAAGTTGTTCTAGTCATCCAGAGCAATAAACACAGGAAAGATGAAGTGTAGAGAAATACAAGTTATGTGGACAATAAAAAATATCTTTTACATAGCTACAGATAAATGCTTAATCTTAGTTTTACAAAAACAAAATCATTCTTCAAACTCATGTGTTTCAAAACATGTCAGATTTCAGAATATAATATAGGCAAATATTACTGAAATGTGACTTGACTCAAATTGAGATAATTACAGACTCATTCTACAATTTCTCACTTGTTTTGGCAACTGGACTCAGCTGAATGACTGCAAGGTAAAGAACAAATTCAAAATAAGTTTTTTTAAGGAAGATTCATGTTAAGTCTTTAGCAAAATAAGCAGAAACATGAGAAAGTTTGAAAACAGAGGAGTGACACAAAAACCACCAGCATGCTGTGCTGAACTTTTAGGATTATTTTTTTCCCATCAAAGAAATTAATGAGATTAACATGTTGTTTAGGATATTTTCTACACTGTATTGAATTCCTACCTAAATTAAGGGTCATCTTAGACAGCCCAGTCATGCATTTGGGAGGGATGAGTGGTAGGCACAGGATTTAAATGGATGTAAGTTCGTGTGGAAGGGGATTTTGCTAAACTGGCTATCTTGTTCATCTGACCTGTACTGGCCAGCAAGAACTACAAGGGATTTTACACTGGTCTCAGCAGAGACCCCAGCTGCAGGTTGCTGGCAGCAATCCTGCTTCTCAAACATCTGGGCAGCCCCAACTCTCACAGGATTCAGCTCAAAATTTTATTCCAAATTTCCAGTTTCCAAACAGGTTATAAATCCTTTCCAAAGTTATAGATTTTTATTTCAGTATCCGAATCCTAAAGCTGCTTTATTCACCATCTTTGTTTCCTGCAGAACAGAGTCTGCTGCTCTCAGCCCTGTCAGCTCTGGGCTTGATTTGTCTCCAGCAATTACCAGGAAGGTGGTTGCTATGCTGCACTAATGAAAGGAGCAACCATGTTTCCTTGAAGGCAGTATAAGCAAGCATAAATAAACAAATTCTTTGTGGTGTTAATAGTGTAAATGAGATATTATTGCAACAGAGCAAGTAAGATATTAACCCATTTTAGAGGCTTGATAGCTATCAACCTTTCAACTTTCTATGCAGAGCTTAGCTTGAGATGGATAACTCTTTTCAGTAAATAATTATATTATGAGTTTTATAGAATTTTCTCCTCCATCTTGATGTGTCACATTTTTGCTGTGTTTGTTCTTGTTACCACATTTTTGGGTGGACATGGCCCAGGTTGCCCAGGGGGGCTGTGGCTGCCCCATCCCTGGAGAGCTCAGGGCCAGGCTGGATGAGGCTTTGAGAAACTGCTCCAGGAAAAGTGGCCCTGCCCATGGCAGGGGGGTTGGAATGAGATAATCTTTAAGGTCCCTTCCAACCCAAACCATTGTATGGTTCTTTGATTTTTCCAGTGATAGTCTGTCTCCACAATTTTGCTAGTTACTGTTACATCTATGACAGGTGCATAGGTGAAGGTCCATGGCCAAAGCCAGGAACATAAGTATTAATTTAAAAAAATCCTGTTATGTTGCACTGAACCTTGTCTTCTCTGGTTCACTGAATTTAGCTCTAAGTGTGACTTTTTTTGAGAAGTGACTGTAAAAACTGTATCACACATTGTAGTGTTTGTATTTCATGACTTTGCATCAATTTTGTTCAGGATGTTAGAATTTTTTTAAAAACACCAGATATACCAATGAAGATTTGAAGGTCATGCTGTGTTTAAACTCATGTAACACTAATAAAAATGGCATTTCTGAGAAGTGAAATCTCATTCACCCTACCAGCAAAGCACTTCAGTGTCTAGAGCAGGCTGTGCTGTCAAATCTTCCTGAAGTGCAAGTAAATCCATTCCACTTCCAACCTAAAATGCAATCTCTCAAAACAAACTTATGCTAAAATTATGAAATAGTCTTACAATATTAGCATTATGTATTGCATTAAGGTGGGAAACTTTGGTGATCATACTACCTCATCATGGGACAAATTTCCATCACTGTAACAAAATATAGGAATTATTCTGAACAGTGATAATATAAAAATACTAACCATATGTCATTACATATCTGTAGGTAGAGGGTGTTACTTACTTGAATTATTCAGTGTCCTTTTAATAGATCTCAATATTACTGGAAAATGCTGAGCAGTTATTGCTACTGGCTGAAAATGCTAACTTTTGTTTTGTTACTTGGTTAGGACAGAGATATATTTCTGTTTGGAGATGCTGGGCACTGAAGACATTGGTCCAAGTTCAATTGGGGAACAAAATGAATGCAACATATTTTAAAGCAAACCTCATTTTTGCTAGTTATTAAGTATATTTGGTGTTTTAAGAGGAAAAATGGAATACCACATTGTAAAAAGACATTAGTTGGACACACTGTAATTTCTTTTCTTATATGATGTCTGATTCTGACTTAGCACACTACAAACTATTTTACTTTTCTTCTCTCCTTTATTTTGCAGTTAACTTTGACCACTTTCAAATATTGCGGGCTATTGGGAAAGGGAGTTTTGGAAAGGTAAGAATCAATTTATTTTGAGCAGTTAAATGTCTAATAGGGAATACCTTTGTGTTTTGCTGGCTTGATTATGGTAAAAGAACATAGGTTTTGTAGCCTTTTCCTTCTTAAGGACATCTGACCACCAGTATGAACTGTCTCTTCATTAAATTATTTCTATTATAATCTATTCACAAAAATTAATTGAGCAAAAGTTATTATAATAATTAATTATCCCAAATGGAGATTAACAGAATTTAGAAATCTCTCCTAGAATCAAAAATCAACAAAAAGGTAGGAGCAGACTACTTCTTTAGACAGTCCACCAAAGTGATCTTGTTCTTAACTCCCTGAGCTTATTTGCGTCTTTAAAATAATTGCAGTATTTTAAAGGTATTTTACATAGAATAAATCCTCTTGGCACTGTGTAAACTGACATACAATATAATTATGATCACTGAGTAAATGTTTGTTCAATTCAACAGGATTTTTCTGAAACAGAGAAGATTAATGGTTTGTTTACACTTGAGTAGACAACATTTCTTTCCTATAAATAGTGATTATAACAAGGTTTTACATTCATAATACAAAGCCACATAGCCACATAATATACAAATACAAAGCTACAAAGAGAAAATACTATTTAAAAAAACTATTAGAAACCATTTCTCACAGGAATAGATCTGAGGGTGAAATATAACTGATAGTTAATCAGGTGACTGATGGAACAACAGCTGTCTAAATCTTGATTTCAATGATTCCTGAGTAAATGCCAGGTCAGTGCTGGTGAGGCACTTCTGTAGCCATGCATTAAGAGCACACAAAGGATTTCGCTGGTTCTTGGCCTCCGTGCAGAACAATGACTTTAATTTTAGAGAGGCCAGAAATACTTCTTGCAGAACAGCATGGTCCCTCATGGCACAGTCCTTATTCAATTCAGTAGTTTTCAGCAGAAACTGTCTTTGAGGTCAATAGGAGTATATCCCGCTCGGGCAAAAAAGTGCTTATAAACCCCTTAAAATCAGGGCAGCAGAGATCTGTGATTGTTTATTATCACAGTACAGAGGTGGAATACTAAGTCAAACTAAATGAAGGTCAAGACTGCAAGTTATGTACAGGAAAAAAAGTTAAAGACATATCCCAGTCATGTTGACCCTCACAAAGGAAAAGCTACTTAGACCAGAGTTCAGCATTTTTGGTTTCAAATTGCCTACTTCTGAATTCACTTGGCAAATTTTTAATATACAAATAAAACTTGTTTCATCAGAATTTATAACTTGGCTTCTTCCAATGGACATGGAATCACTAGTAACTGGAATATGCTAAGCATAACTAGTGTAAAGTTCTTCCACAAACAAACAAACAAACAAACAATAAATGAAAAATAAATCAAACAAACAAACAAACAAGCAATTTCCTGGTATTTATGAAGACCAAAGCATAAGCAAAGAGCTGCCTTCACCTACTTGGCAAAGCAAGGTCACTGAAGCCGGAAGGGCTCCTTTTAGAGTACCTGCACCTCACTTGGGTACCACTGATCCCTGCCCTGTGTGTGCCCCTTTGGGAGTGTAGCAGACAATGCACCAGCTCTGTGCCAGGTGTGTCTGCACAGGTAATGCCCCAGGCAGGTGTGTGTGTGCCCAGCAGTGTGGGAGCTGCTCCATGAGTGGCCACAAATGTTCTACTGCAGCTTGCCCATCACTTGGCTTGAGCAGAAGAACAGCCAGCTCACACAGAAGCTGTGGCTGAGATGGTCCTGGCAGACTCAGACCTCACCTCCTTCATCTACCCCTAAAAAGGGGAACCTGAGCTCTCGAAGGACACCTTTGGAATGACCAAAGGTGCTCTTTGTTTCCAGAAAAAGGAGCATGCTGGTGGTTTCTCTTCTCTCCACAAGCATTTCCTACCCTCCTCAAAACTGCTGTGGTGTATCTTTTCCCGAAAAATATTCAACAGTGTCTAGGAGACAGTACCTGCTGTTAAGGTGTCCCTAAGAAGGCTTGGGTACAGAGGCAGCAGCTGGAAGCAGGTGGCCACTTAGAAAAGACAAGAACTTGAGATGCAAAGTATTTGGTACCAAATGGCCCAGGAGTTCCTGTGACAGAAAATGTTGTGACTGTGGATTGAAAAGGCCAAAGGCAAGGCAGGGAGCTGATTTCTGACACCAACTGTGGGGACAGATCCCAGGTGCTGAGGCAGCCAGCCCCAGTGGAGCAGCTGAGGTGCTGAGCATCACCTTGAGCTCTGTGCACACGAGGGAGCTGAGCAGCACAGGGGCTCTGCCATACCAGAATCCTCCTGCAGCAATGCCCTGCTCAGGTTGCTGCGGCAACCAGAGTAATTTAAGAAATATTGAGAGAGAGAGACACAGGAATATTGTACCAAGAGCAATAAAATAAAAAAATAGAGCATGTCTTAAAACATCCTATTTCTCTCAGAAAACAGAAAAGGCCACAGAGGAGCCATAAAGGAAGCAGGCAGTTTAGGAAAGCGTGGCACTGAACTTGGTGTTATACACTGCAAGATGCTAAAGCACAGCAGACCCCGAGCAATAAACACCCTGCAATAGATTAACAGCCTTGCATCCTTTTTGGACATTTTCTGCTGCCAGGTACTTCCAGAAGGACAATAACAGGAAAAGTTGCCAGCAACGAGGCTTCTAAATGAACAATAAAGGCAGGACTGACTCACAGAGACAGACATTTGAAATGGTGACTGATTTACCATGTTGTGCTTTTGGCTGTGTTATAATAGGTCATTTTAAAATGGGCTTCTTTCTTTCCCTTGCCCATGGAAGGAAAAACAAGGTGATTTGTCAGAAGCCTGTACTCATTTGGGAAAAAGAAACCTGTTACACCAAGAGACTTTCCTGTTGCATTTGACAACTCTAAAAAAGGATTTAAGTTTAGAGGGAACTCATACTTTAAACATTTTCTCTCTCATACAACTCCATTTTCACCAATACAGATTCCCCAAAGCAGGGAACCATACTCATATAAACCTGAACCTTATAAACAAGAACCATACTCATATAAACCTGTAAAAAACTAGATATTTCTAGAAATATCATAGAAACATTCACCAGTTTCCTGAGTGCCATGGAGAAGAGTGGATCAAAATCAACCAAGCCTTCATAAAACAGACTTGTTTTATTTTCCTGCATGATGTGAAAGGCTGAGGACTCTTTTGCAATGGCAGAGACAGTAGAAACAGGGACATATGATATGTTAGAAGTGCTGTGTCCTGCTTAATCTGGCTATTTTTTTTTCAATATTGTTATCTGTAGAGCTATCACTCTTCTCAAACAAAATATTGCAAAAAATTATATATTTGAAGATCATCCAATAAGTACAAAGCCAATAAGGATTGAAATACAAGAATTCTCATTGTCTTTTACTGCAACAATAACCACATAATTGCAGGGTTACTGCTGCACAATAATTTGTATTCAGGTGCAACAACTAGTTCTCAGACATATTATAGTACCAATTTTCTCTGACTTCTCTGTTCACGGGGGCAGTTACGTTAAACAATCTCACATCCTTAAATTGAATTCAAATTATAATTTCAAGGTACAAACTCTCTCCTGTTTGTCTAAGATGCTGAGACACAAGACTTAGTTCTGATGAATTTGGTTGAATAAAACAGTGACTTCCTGTGTTGAAGTAAAATTGAAATTACAGTGGTGTAAACCAGATGGGAGCCCAGAATCATGTTAGCACTGATTGAGGGTACTTTAGTAAATAGTATGCAAAATACTTCAGAAAAAAATATGCTTCTACCCTAAAAGCAACATAACACACCACTGCAGAATATTAATATTGTTTGACAGTATTATGACCTGTTTTTTAGCTTGAGTTAATATGAAAGGATACTAAGCAGATGCTTTGGCTGCTCCAGATGTCATGCTTTGCTCAGGGTAATCTGGGAATGAATCTCCCTATTTAAAGGAAACCCCCTGGCAGCCTAAAGACATCCATCCTCCAGCCTCTTTGAGTAAATCTTGCCAGCTCTTCTTGCAGGCTAAGACTATGAGAACCAATTTTTCAGAGCACATGGGTAGGACATTCAAGGGAGCAATATTTCCGGCAGATGCTCCACAGCAGGTTCATCAATTCCCATCTGGAGTGTATCTGATTTCTGCCTTGTAGCCCTCTGTGTTGGGTGAGTGCCACAGCCCCTCTGCTGGGCTGGGGCTCCTCATGGCAGCCAAAGCTGCCCCATCTCATCCATGGTGTGAGATGTAAAATACCGTACAGCAGCATGGGTGAGGGAGCACCCCAGCTGCCAGCTCTCCACCCAGCAGTGGCCTCATGCAAAAGTTCTTCTGGCTGTGGGTTTGCCTCCCTCCTCTTTTATCACCTGTTGTGAAACCGCATCTTGTGTCAGTCTGAGAGGTCTAAGTACTCCTGTGCCAAATTTAGACCAGAATTGACGCTAAGTGCACCTTGTTTTTTCCACACCATGCACACAGCAGCTGTAAGTCTCTTCTAGTGGGAAGCAGGAAAAATCTGTGTTTTGCAGCAAGTCTGATATTTCAGCCATCACCATCTTTAGGAAGAACTTTGTTGAAGCTACCCATGGTTGCTCTCTGCCAACACAGCATGATACAGCTTCCTTCAGCAAGCTTCTCTGTTTTCTGCATGTGAAATCAGAGGAAATCCAAGAAGGTAGTTTAGAAATGGGCCACAGCACATGTTGCTCTTGAAAAATGAAGCTTAGCCCTGCAGCCATAATCTATTGGTTTCCTTCCCCAGATTCTGAGGAAAAGTGGCCCCAAGTCACTCTCTGGTCAAATTTCTTCTAACCTGATAGGTTTTAAGGCAACTCACTGTTACCTTCTACCAGGAATAACAAAAGACACCACCCTGTGATAAGAACTAAGTTACATTAAAAAAAACCCTTTAGAAAGGGAAGTGAGATTTTTAAAAATAGCACTATACCATTCCAGAGAAAATTAATGGGGTTCATAATGCCTGCCTTTAAACTTGTACCACACAGATGCCTATATCCAAGCTGGTAATCTACAGCCTCTTTAGGGGACATTAGAGGGAAACCATTCCAGGTACAGAGATAGTCCCCTGTACCTCTTTAGATCCACACTTTATGGAGGTGGCTGCTGTCCTTCTCTACTGACTATGAAGCAGGATAGTTGAGTTCAGAACACATATTTGCTCTGAATCATCACACTGTCTGGCCTTTGGTAAATGATATTCACAGAAAAATGGAAAGAGTGTGAGTGTCACAGGCTTCCATACTGATACATGTAAATAAGACATTTCTGCACAGAATTTCATCATAATGAGTCATCACAGAATTTTTTTGTTGAGGTTCCAGAGCACCTGTTTATCCCTATTTTAAATTGCTCCTTTGGAACAAAACACCCCCCAGCTTAAACATTTCCCATTCAGACTGTACATATGAGAAGGGCTCAAGGGCTTTTCCTTTCTTTCTTGCTTTAATGGAAAGTTTCAATCCATTGCTGTCCTGCTCAGGAGAAGAGCTGAGAGCCAGCAGGTAGAAGTGCCAGGGAGGATCTCCAATACCACCCAGTGCTGTCATAGCAATGTCAGGCATTTTTCACAATAACATCAACACGGATGCAGGTTGTGTTTCCTGATTTTTAGTAGGAAGTAGCTCCATTACATTCATTAAAACCCTATTGATTTTGTAACCATGTTAAAGGATTTGTGTAGGTACACATTGCTAGAAAATGTTTACTATCATTCTGCTCTGAAGCTGTGTGTTAGGCAAGCTTCTACCAACAACAGAAGGTCTGTTTCAGCTGTGCTGAACACCCTTGTCTTTACTGCCAGGTAAGGGAGCTGAGTGCCTTCTGGAGTCCCAGCAGCATTGCAAAACTGGTTTACATTGCATATTTTGGTGCTGCATATGATCTTGATTTGCCACATTGGTCAAAGGTGTAATTCTCAAACCCATTCTCTCCACAGTCTCTCACATCAATCCTTCAATAGGGAGGCTTTTAATGTAATGGACTAGGAGGTTTCTGCAAACACCTAACTCTTGGCCAAGTTGTACATGAAAATCATGGTGTTAACTAATGTACATGGCCTAATTTATGGACTTAGGTTCTGAGCTAAAATCCCCAAATGTTGCACTTTACAATGTGACTTGCTAAATTGGACTCTCCACATATTCTAAGACAGGATGTCAGGATTTGCCCCTGAAAATTCTTCTTATGCTTTTGAAGGACCTGTGGAAGCTTGAACAATTCATTTTCATCCCTACTTTTCCCACTTAATTTCAGCTCAATCCCATTTGCTGCTTTTTCTTCCCCCAAAAGGGGGGAATTCCCCATTGTTCCACAGCCAGGCTTCTTTCCATATAAATGTGAACCTTTAGTTATCTTAAGAGCATCAACAATTTTCACATCTTTCGTTACAGTCCAAGGTGAAAAATGAAACAAAACTTCTGTACTCAGCATTGTGCAACAATTAATGGGCTCAAAACAAAATGTTACCATCCCTGATTTCCTTAATAGCAGAACATCTCCTGATAGTAGGAAAGGTAATTAGAAACACTGCTTAATCATGCCTTATCATTATAGGTTAAAGGTACTCTATTAACTCCTCTATTTGCAGTAGATTTGTGCTCAAGGACACACTTTAGGAAAATAGAGTTTCAGAGAAATAAACATGGTTTGACTTCACTGGCCTTGTTCCTCCCAGTTTCAGCTGTGGGAAGTTGCCTTAGTTACTCCAGATTGTTCCTAAATATTGGGTGCATAAATTTCTTAAACTTTTGTCAGTCACAAAGGATTTCTTTTTGGCTGCCACTGTGTTGTAATCTGATCTCATAACATGAATTTATGAGGGCATAGTATAATTTTTTGTGTGTAAAATATGGGAGCATGTATGTGTATGTATTTAAATATACAAATAAAAAAAATAATGCCCAGACCAAGTGAATCCAGAATACCTTTGAACTTAGACACTGCAGACCTGGGGTACCTAAACCAGATGTTTCCAGTACATTCAGAACAATTGTGCATTTCTCTGCTTCCAAAAATTGTACTTAACATGATACTTGGTTGTGCCAGTCTCCAGCTCCATTCTCAAGATAAAATACCATGACAAAAAGAAATCCAGAATTCCTATGGAAGTTCTCTTGACTAAGATTTTCTTTATGCATTTGCATTATTTGGCTTTTGACAAAAAAATTATAAAGTAAAAGCATAGACATTTACTGCCAGAGACTAAATCATTGTAATGGTCTCTTGTGAATTCAGAAATATTATGATGAATACCTGTATAAAAATTCTTTTCCTTTCAACAGTAATTAAGGGAGCATAATTCTGATATTTAGATGAAATATTGAGCCTTGGGAACACAGGCAAGGTTTATGATGCAATAATCAAGATGTGAGTATTGACTTGTGGGAATGAGGACAATGACTGAGCATTTTCCTAGGCAGGAGGCAGTAATTTCTCTGAATAATTAAATAGCCTGTGATTTCAGCCATTGCAGCATATTACTCTCAGCTTTACCATGTAAGTTCTGAAAGTTGTGGTGTTTTTCTGGGTCCCCATTTCCTCTTATACAGGGTTGGGTTGGGTTTTTGTTAATTTTTAATTAGAATCTATTACAAAGAATCCTGCAGAGCTGTGAAGTGAACTTACTGAATGTGTTACTCAGTTGTAATATCCAGATCTGAATTATTGAAATATCATTAAAGACCTCTTTTTTCCAAAGTCACAATTGAATTCACTTTCTCAAGGTGTCAAAATCTTTCTTTTACTTTGCTGCCAATTAGGTGTGCATTGTACAGAAGAGAGACACCAAGAAAATGTATGCCATGAAGTACATGAATAAACAGAAATGCATTGAGAGAGATGAAGTCCGCAATGTTTTCCGGGAGTTGCAGATAATGCAAGGCCTGGAACATCCCTTCCTGGTCAATCTGTGGTAAGAAAATCATTAAAATGCTTTCATAGAGCTCTCATTTTCTCCTTGTTGCTGAATCAGTTCAGAATATGGAAGGCTAGAAAGCTGAAAACAACAAAAGATTTTTGGTGACTTCCTTTGTTAAAGGTATTAGGTTTCACAGGGAGTTTTATTTTTTCATTAATATTTTTAAAGTGTCTTTTTTAATTGAAATATTTAAATATCATATTCATCTGTTAATTTCTGCTTTGGTTTCTCTCCAAATTGTTACAATATTGTGTTGAAATGTGTTGTCCTGTCCCATTTGTTTTTGACAATACCTGGACTAAACCTCTCTAATAAAGCTGTGGAATAGCAAATACAACAATTTCTTTTTTAAGTCGATTCAGAGAAAATTCAAAACTCAATTACTTTCTAAAAATTACTGTCACAGGACAACAGAAAAGTGCCTTTTTGTCACCTGGAATTTCCCTTATCTTCTCCATGCTAGACACTGAATCTTTTGGTCACACACGATTGTGAGAAAATGCTGGTCAAAAAATGACTGGCTTCAACTACACCAGCAGCTTAAAATATTTGCTGGCTCTTATGCAGTGTGACAATACTTGCTGCCTTCTGTAGTGATAATAGTAATGGGATGCAGAGTTTTGCTCCTTATCTAATGACCTGCATCATTCAGAAAATGAAAAGGTGGAGGGGAAATAAACCATTACAATATGAAAATTATTCAGTCTGTGAATAGCTTGATTGGCTGCAGATGGTTACAGTGCCCATTGATCTTGTGTTTTGTGAGTTTTAGCTGTCTTACTTGAGGTCACTGCCCAACTACAGTGTTCTGCCCATCCCTTAGCTCACTCCTGGTGCCAGGTTAGCACCTTTCACAAATTAAAAGCCAAATTATGTTCTGTCTTGAGCAAAAACAGCTTTAGTATAATTGCACTCTGATAGAAAGCATTTAAACCCAAGATTGATTCCAGATTAGGTCCAAAAGGACCTAATTATATAAATACATATGTGCTCTTCACTTTATATGCATGATCTGAGCTAATCTAATACCTTGTTGAAGGCTTTAAAAAATACATCATTGTAACTGCAATACAAAACTTTCCCAGTATATTTTCCAAGGTTCCACCAAGCTGTAGTCTTGGGATTTCTTTACCAAAGATATGGTGTGTGTATATATATATGTGTGTGTATATATATATATATCTGTGCTTAGGAGGCTGTGGAGTTCTCTGTTATGTATTTATCTACCTTTTTTGAAATCCCACAAACTTTTATTCTTTATCAGGAACTGTGGAAGTTTCCACTGTGTAACTAGACACTGCACAGAAACAGTCATAGGTTAATGTGATCTGAGAGATAAACATAGCAGTGCTGAAAGACTGAAGATCAAATATTTATTGTGAAACAAAAAGAATGCTAGATTCCCATTACTGAGTAATACTCAGATGATAAATATTCTTTTACCTTTTCTTTTTCTATGCCAAAGATTAAACTTGAAATAAGCAATACCTTAAAATGCACTGGGCATTATGATGCCTTTTATCTTTCCTACACTTCTAAGATACCATCACAGGATATCAAGACTCAAATGTTATATTATATGTGTGTATGAGAAATGCAGAAAATGAAAGAGAAATATAGTACTCTAGAGTTACAAAACATTTCAGGCAAACAGGACACTATTCAAGAGGCTTCGGTGAAATATACAAAACAATGTTTTATATTTGATGTCTCTAGCAATGGTTGTAGTTGACCAATCCATCTACAAGCTCTGATCTCTTCACTCTCCTGACTGGGGACAGGACTTGAGGAAATGGCCTGGAGTTGTGTCAGGGGAGGTTGAGGTTGGGTATCAGGAAAAGGTTCCTCACCCAGAGGCTGGTTGGGCACTGGAACAGCTCCCCAGGGAAGGGCTCACAGCTCCAGCCTGACAGAGCTCAAGAAGCATTTGGACAATGCTCTCAGGCACATGGTGTGACTCTTGGGGATGTCCTGTGTAGGGGCAGGAGTTAAACTCAATGATCTCTGTGGGTCCCTTCCTACGCAGGGTGTTCAGTGGTTCTGTGATTTTGTATGAGGCTCTACTGACATTCAGGAACTCGATACAATTTGAATTGTAGAAATTTTAAAAAAATACTTTCATTGACCCTTATTATTTTGACCTGAAGTGCTCACCTCAAACATTTCATATTCAAATGTCTGGTGATTCAAAGATCGGACTCCAGAGTGAGCTACTGAACTGCTGGAGAATCTGTATTTCACCCAGGGAGAGCAAAGGGAAATCTTGAGCCCGAACCTTCCCAAAATGAATCTAGTCTACCCTGAATAACTCTTTCCTAGTATCAGGCTTAAAATATGTTTCTATAAAAAATTAACCTGGAACAATCCTAAATTAATTTAAATTAATTTGTGATATACTTCTGGAGTGTCTACACTTGCAGGCTACAGGAGAATTTTCCAGACCTCTGACTTCTCTGTCTCAAATTTCAGCTGAATTTCAGGATATTCTACACATTATCTTCAAATAATGACTTTTGTTATTGAGCTGCAACAAAGGCAACGAACAAAAATTATAAATGATCCATGAATAATGGTCACATCTGTTCAAGCCATATGAAGCTTTTAAACATATTAATTATATTTCATTTATTTAATATTTGAAACTAAATTTTTATTTCTACCATGGGAAAAGGAACACTGCAAGTATGAATGGAATAGTCATTAAATATGTTGTTCCCAGAAATAATTTCTTAAAATAACATTTTCATTGATTGTTGGTGAACTAGAAATCTGTTACTGTATTTCTACTTGCAGTTTAGATACAATAATGATTTGCATCAAAGTACATTGTATTTACAAGTTATATTAGATGATTGGCATGAATATATGAATTTTCCTTCTAAGAGTCAATTCCTGACACACTAATGGAAGGAAACAGTTGAATCTGCATTTCTTCTGTAGTAGTTGCAGCTAAATTAGTTTCATTTTTCAGAGTTGGATTTTGCTGTTTTGTTGATTGCACTGTAAATGTAACAGTGACTGTAACAGGAATGACTAAGCCTGGATCGCTTCAGAAAGTGGAATATCAATCTAAGAAGGACCAGTATTGTCATGGTGTATGGGGAATATGACAACTTCAGCTTGTTTAAATGCCAAAGGTCTTTTGGCCTAGTCTCTCTCTTTCCAGGCTCTATCACACTCTCTTAGGGTTCATATCAGTTTTTAGAAATCCTAAAATGGTGACTAAAATCCTGAAATTAAAATATTTTTATTTTTCATGAAGTATCATTTTCTGTAAGAAAAAATTTCAGTGTCCTATTTTTTTCATTGTGGTGTTTCTGCAGTGATGAATTGAAATTAAACCCTACATCTTTCAATTTAAAATGTCAAATCCTAAATCAATATTGAAAAGTATATTTGGAGGAAATTCCATCATGACAAGCTTTCCATGAGTTTGTGGTACTTTCCCTGATGTGAGCAGCTGATTTGCAAAAGTTTATAATCTGGATTTCAAAATAAAATTAAAATAGTAATAAATATCCTAACAACTCCTTGAACATATTAATCTTTCTTTGAGAAATTACATCACCAAAAATAAAAGCTGGCAGTTTAAGAAACAAACGAATACTGGAAAGTCCTTTCATTTTTCATGATGACTGAAGAAAGTAATGAGATGTGTGTATACAACCCTTCATCAGTTAAATTCTAGTGGAGAGAAAAAGAAGAGGAAAGAAGGTAAATGTTCTGTGGTGGGTGGTTCTGCTGCATCTATCACTGACCACAGCTTACACAAGAATACAGAGAAGCTCATATAAAACAAGGGTAGCATCTCAACTCTGAAAGGTCTCTATTAAGCCTTTTGAGGCTCATGCATCTTCTCTGAGCTTTATTAAATTTAACTTCACAATCTCAACTTATAAATCACATTATTTGAAGTATGAACTGTCTTTCATAACATCTGACACAGAAGGAATCATTCCTCTGTAAATGCTCATAAAAGCTTGGAGGATAACAGTGTTTTTCAGGAAGGGTTTTGGGTTGATTTATAATCTCCATTTTAGAAATGAAATTGTATAAATGCTTAAAGCCACTTTTATCACCATTAGAGGCATTTCTGATAACAGAGAAGATTAATGGGCTGCAGAAATGTCAGCTGCCAACTTGGTCCCACCTTGAGTCTGTTCCTCTCTAATATTCAGCACTTTCTCCATGTTCATCCTTCCCCAGATATCTGAGTGTCCCCTGGCCAAGATGAGTGATGTTTCTGAACATATTCATCTTTTAAATACATTTCTTACAATATGCATTAGGACTGAGCCAGGAGCCAGGTTACTTGCCAGGTACCAGTGCAGGCAGATTTGGCATTATGTGGCTTGTCCTCAATCATGGAGAGATATTTGAAGCATCCCCTGGCTGCTCTGAAAACAACATGGCTTACCACAAAAAACAGCTTTTTCGTTTCTCAAAAAAATCATGTATCAAAGGGGTTTCTAAGCTGATGAGGACCTGAAAAAAATGAAAAAAAAATTTCAACCCTTTCTCAAAAGTTTTGAAACATTGATCTTATTTTTAATAGCCTTGCAAATTTTTTTTTAACTTGCCAGAACATTTTCTAAAGCAATGGAGGGAGACGGATAACCATTTTCTTTTTTCAGCTTATAGGTAATTTTCCTGGTATAGACAAAATAGTATGTTTGATTTATTTAACAAGCCGTGAAGAAGTTTTAGTTGCATTCTCTGAGTGGCTATATACTGTGATGTATTTTTCTTTTCACTTATCAGTCTGTGGAAACTGCATGTGTTCCATGACAGAAGTACATTACTGTTGCAGCTACAGTAAGACTAAGTCTCAAATCCAGTGAAAACTGAAGAACACACATTGCAGCAAAAACGTTCATGCACTTCTCAGTTCATCTAATACCCCAACATATCTTCAAAAGAAAGAGGAAGTTAAAAAAAAAAAAGGATTCTGGGGTCAAGAAATTCTTTGTTCCGTCTCAAGTGTTGGGTGGGTT